TAGATCCTAATATGCTCATCTAATTATTGAATCATACATTCTCCAGAATGCTGCCTGCCCAGCCACTTTGAATTAGCACATATTTAGAAGCCAACAGATCAAGAGCAAGGGCATATGAGTCTATAGCCCTGATGAGGCACCCAGGGGTGCACACACAAACACACACACAGGGAGGAGGAGAGGGGATCAAGCTCTGGTCTTCTGGATGAGGGAGAATGGAAGAGTGTTGAAGCTGACTTTTGCATTCATTAACTCTTCCTCTTCTGTTTGAAGCACTAACTGAAACCTGGCTCTTGGTCGGGTCTTCGTGCTTTCCTCTGCCCTGATTCCCCACCCTGTGCTCCAGCTTCTACTTCTACTCCAGGCCAAGCCCAGCCCCAGCCTCCACAGGACTCTCCTGGCCCAGCCTTCGCCCCTGCCCTTGTCTTGCCGCGGTCTTGGCCCATTCCTATTCTTCCTTAACCCCAGCCTCCCTAGGATTCCCTGCCCATATTTCATTACAGGGAAAGAGGACCTCCTGTATTGATTCCTGGTCTCCAGACCTTTGACTTGGATAATTTCTCCTTGAGTTTTGATCCCCATTGCTAGAGCTTTTGGGTTAGGCTGGCTCTAGCTCTGTCCACTTCACCCACCAAGGAATAATGAACCTCTGGCTCCTTTCCCTCTTGTCAGAGCTGGATGACTAGGAAGAAAAGAGATTTAATCTGGCCTCCATTCCTTTAAAGCAGTAGCCAAGCCAATCCAGAGGGAGTTTCCCACCCTTACCTCCCTGAGACTCTCTAGGGGGGCCATGCCTACCTGCTGGACTCAGTTTGTATGAGTGAGTGTGTACCCAGAGGAGAGCCCCGTCCCTCCCCAATAGTATTTTGCCAGCCTGGAAATACACTATAACTGTATTCATGGCAGCCTTGACAAGAGAATTGAGCTTCCAGAGCAGTTTGTAAAGACACTCATTAACTGTATGACCTTGGATGAGTCACTGCTCTCCTCTGAGCCTCAGTTTCCTCATCTGTGAAATGGGGAAAGAATCATACCCACCCAACTTTCCTTAAAGTTGTTTAATTTCTTTTAGGGGGACAGGAAGCCCCTTGTGCTTTCTTACCTGCTGAATCAGGGTGTAGAATGGGGGGATGGGGGGGAAAGAAGAAGGGAATTGGAGATACAGGACTTAGGAACCGTTTCAGGCTCTAATGAGTCTGGTGAAGGAACTGGCTTGGAGGAAATGTCCCTTGGGGAAAGGCATTGTGAAGGGATACAGATTTTGAACAGGATGGGCTTTCCCCTTTCTCTCCCCTCCCCCTTTCCCCTCTCCCTTCTCCTTTCCCTTCCCCCTCTCCCTTCCCCCTCTCAGTCTTCCCCTTCTCCCTCCTCCCTCTCCCTCCTGTTCAGCCTCAGGACTTCCCATAATGAAGCTTCGGGGTGAGCATCCACATTTTGCTTGATCAAGAAGACAAATTGTATTTTCTTTGTTGAAAAGTCCTCTAATGTCCCACCTCCTTTCATCATCTGTCTATCCACTACCCCTTATAAGCATATAAAAAAGTAAAATAAAATTTGGCCCTTTCTCCTCCCTGCCTGGATTCTGTGTCTGGACTAGTGAGACCATTTCAAGGCAATCAGAGAAGTAAGAAATAGAACAGTGAAGTGTCTCCCCAGGAATATACATGCTGCCCAGGTTGGCCTTTTAGAAGAGGTCTAAGCATGCCTGGCCATGAAGAGGGTGAGTGTGGAGTGGGGAAGAATGAACAATTAAGTAACAAGGAAAGGAGATTCTTGGGGTGACTTGGTGGTTACAATTCTCTCCTTTAAACCTTAACACTATGACCCTCTTTCCCACCCTTATCCCCATTTTTAATATCCTGGGGCACACACATATGCATACACACATACACACACATATACATACACATATACATACATATGTACATATATAACATCTTATTTTTTCCAATTACAGATAAAGAATTTTTAATACTCATTTTTTATAAGATTTGAGTTCCAATTTGATACAGTTTATGTATGTGCAATCATGTAAAACATATTTCTGGGATATATTTTGGAAGAATCTTAAGTATAGAACTGAAAGGAACTTAAGACTGATCATCTAGTCCAGATGAGGCACAGGGAGAAATTACAGAGATCTCGAGGGGGAAAAAAAAATCTAATGGCTCCCTAATGCTAACCTTACAAAAAATATTCCAACCGGAAATTGTTTGATTTTAATTGTTCAGAATAGAACTGACTGGTTCAAAATATAGATGGCAAACTTTTAGCATCTCTAACAAGAGAGATATTATTGGATAAACATTGGGCACACTAGCCACACACCACGTTGTTTGTTTGTTTGTTTTCACTCAAGCTGGCTTCACGTCTGTAAGAGTCAAACCTTCCCTGTTGTAGCATGAAATTTCCCCATTTAGGTGTATCTTGACTTAACTAAATCTGCTATATGAAAATGTAGATTTCCCTAATAGTTAAATGAATGGCTAGGTAAATCTCTGAAACTCTAAGCACACTCTACTCTTCTCTCCCTCTCCTCTGCCACCTTAGTTCCTATTTTGTTCACGAAATCTGCCCTCCTCCTTAGGCCCAGAGTCCCCTGGTCTCCTTCAGAGCCCTTAGGAAACACATTGCTTTACCTCTTGGCCTCCAAATCCTTAATTAAGCCTTGTTCCTTTCCATCTCCTTCCCAGCTTCTCACAGTCAAAGACACCTGGGATTTAGGGAGCAGAAAAGGAGGTTGCACAATAAATAAAATATTCATTCAATTGAAATGCTGAGTAGAAGCAGAGCCCTCCCACACCTGTTTGGATGAGGGCCCTGTGCCTTGCAGGTGTCCGGTTTGAGGTACCAAGGCTGGCAGGACAAGGTTGCCTAGATATGGTGGCTCACTCCTCTGCCCTTCATTTTCTGACTTCTCTGATGGAATGCCTATAGACAGATCCAAGTTAAGGCTAAACTAATTTAGAAACGGTGTCAAAGTCAGGCTAGAATAAGCCCTTCCCAGACTGGCAGCAGGCCTATCTTACAAAGCATGGAGTTGAATGTACTCTGTTTCATACCCCTGGAAATTGAGAAGGACTGGGCTCCTACTGAATGCCCTTCTCCTCGGTATTTAATTACAAAACTGGCAGAGTGAAGTCTCTGTTCTGATTAGAAGAAAATCAATCAGTGCTTATTAACCACAACAAACCAATAAAAAGAGTTAACTGGGGCAATGATATTACTCCACCTCCTCTTGTTCTGATAAACCTTAAAGCAGTGAAGGTTTTTTTGTTTGTTTGTTTGGTTGGTTGGTTTTTTTATCCCATCTAAGCATCCTTCATACCCTCGATATCACTGCCATGTTACCTAGCATCCTGACCTTTGTGTATGCTGACTTCCTGAAGCTTCTGCCTTCTGGGGAAATGAATTCTCCAGGAAGCCAGGTTTTAGGAAAAATTTTGTCTCCTGGCTTCAGAGGGCCTTGAATATCTACTTTCAGTCCTTATTTGCTCTTCCATATCATCTCATTTCAGTGGGGAGCAATTGGGGTATAGGAGGAGGAGGAAGCTGAGCCTCTGGCCTTAGACCTGTTTAGCTATAGCTCTGGGACTTCCAAAAGTCCCTCATCCTCTTTGGGCTTTGATGTCCTCATCTGCAGAGCAGGAGACCTGTACTACATACTCTAATAAGGTTCTTTTCCTCACTCACAGTTTGTGAATCTATTCTATATTTTTTGAATTGACCACAGAGGACTGGGTTACTGGTGTGGGAGCTTTGACATTAAATACCGAGCGTGTCATAGTCTATTTGGCAGAGGATTACATAAATCACTGGAAATGCTTGGGGAAGACATTCTTGTCTAGCCAGGGAGATCCAAAGAGAAGTAGCACCTTTAAGGGAATTTCCATAGTTCCTCTGCATACAAATAAACCGCTGTTTAGTAATGAGCATTTCTTGTCCAGATCCATTTCAGAAATAACATCTCACTCAATAGGAGGCTAGCAGCTCAGGAGTCTCTGCCCTGGTTTGTCTCATTCAAAGTACTCCATCGCCTCTCCCTCCCATCCCTCCCCCAGGACCTCATTTCCTGTTCCATAGTGACTCCCTGGCTGTGCCAGCCTCAGGGTCTTTCAGAAAGCCAGCCAGAACTTCCCGGCTAGGAAGGGCAATCAGTGATCATCCTTGGGGAATGAGCTGGCTCCATAGTTGGGATGAGTCATCAACCCGGCTGCCCACTCCAACACATCATGGGCCCACTTATCAGATTGAAAGACAGGTGTTTTTGTAGAAGGCTGTTAGAAGGCACAGATTAGCTTCGCTCTCTGTCTTTTTTTTTTTGAGAAAAATACAGTTTGTTGATTTTTTTTGCTTGTTTCTCACTGTCATTTCTGGATACGGTCCCCCTTGCCCCCCACCTCTGTCTTGTTGCATCCTATTCCACCCCCTACACAAACATATTGATCCCTCACTTATGACAAGAAAAACACACTAGCAGTAGTAACTGTCAGCGTGAGTAGCCAATATTCTGACTGTAGTCCTCCACCTCTCAGCCAAGTAGCGGAAGGTATGTTCTATCATTTCTCCATCATTGCCATAAATCTGAATTTGGCTGTCTTTCCAAGTCGTCTCTATTTGCATCATTGTTTGTTATGATGCATGTGGTATATTGTTCTCTCTGCAGCAATCATCTTCACTGATTTCACTACAGGGAAGAAATTATTCCCATGATGATTTTTAAAGAAGTAATATTAATTAACCAAACTTTTATCTTTTCTGTTGTAGGAGTGGAGTATTTACTCTAAACTATGAACATGTGTACATATTTTTTTAAAAATAATTGTTATTGCCTGTATTTTTTGAGTGTCCATTTCTCTATCTTTGTCATCTGTCATTTTTTTAATTGACTTTTGGTAGTTAAAAAAAATCAGGTTTGGACTAAAGACATTCTAGTTTGTTATATAACTAATGCTTTTTCAAATGCAAATGCTCCTTTTTTTTTTCTTTCCCACACCCAGACTACAGGACCTACAAGATCCAGGGATGATGGAGAAGCTTTTGCAGCCTTCCAGAAAATCAGGGTTCCGAAAAGTGGAAGAAAAAAAATTGTCCAGGAGGAATCACAGGAAAGTAACTGTTTTTCTTCTTTAAAAACTTGAGGAGATGGAGCAGTATTTAAAGAAACTTGAGTTTCAGGGTGCCCAGACTTCTAAGCAATTAAAAAGCTGATTTCTTGGTACCCCCCAGATTGGGAGCTTTTAAAATTCTAATTTCAGGCTGTCCCCCATAACAACTCTCAGTGGGATTCAGTAGAACATGTTAAATGGTTTGCTATTTGAGGTTGAACGTTGTTTGCAGGAACTTTAGGTACAAGATTCCAACAGGCAGCAAATGGGGAAGAAAAGGGCCCCCTACTTTAATGCCCATTGTTGTAGAAATAAAGGGTACATTGTATTTTTATCTCTCAGGGTCCTCTTTGATTCCTGAGTGTCTTCATGTATCATATAAATTATTTTCACCAATATCTTTAATGGGAGGCAGAACTGGCAATGTTAATACCCACACCTAGACTAATACTAATGTAGTTCCACTTTCTTTTACTCTTAATTCTGTTGTTTAACAAGAATTTAGACAAACCAAATACTATTCCCACAAGAGAAAAACAAACAAACAAACAAACAAACTCAGGGCATTTTTCTAATCAAAATAACCCTTTTGTTCATTTTTATTTTTAAATTTGAGCGTGCCAAATTGATGAATATTTTCAAGTTGTTTTCTCTTATTTTTATTTTTTGCTTTTCTTAAAAAAAAAGAGCAAGAAATCAACTATAATAATAGCATTCAAATAGATCCAGGAAGTCAAAGAAAATGCTACGTATTTGAAGAGTCTATTGGGGGTATTGTTTATCATCCCTGTCAAATGCTAACTCAGAAAGCTCAGCCCACTCTGTGCCCCCCCACCAACTTTTTATGGTGGAAGACTATGCAAGTGCAAACCTTTGGGGGCAGCGGTGTATGTTTAAGGGAGAGGACTTAATATTAACAGCTTTTGTGAGCAAAGAGCCCCAGCCTATCAGCTCATACTGAAGCAGTGCTGAGAGCAGAGCTGCGGACTCAAAACACTTTCATTCTTTATCTTGCATCTCTGCAAGGTGGGTTTTAACTTTTTTTTTCTGGATTTTTTTTTTAATTTTCCTTTTCAGTAAGAAGGATAAGCTTGGAGTATCCAGTCGCCGTGGTAACTGCCAGAAAAATCCTCCTGAAGTTTGAAGAGGTCAGCTAGCAGGGTCAACAACTCTGGCCTCTTTCTGCGCTCAGCCTGGCAGGCCCCGGCCTGCGGTTGGAGTGTCAAGCGAGGGCTAACCCTGGGAGGTGGGCCATTCCAGCTCTGATATAAATTTTTTGAGTCAGTTCACGGCTTGGACTCTCCAGGTGGCCTCCAAAATCGATGGTGACCTCCTGACCCTGTCTCACGGAGGCATAGCATCTAACCCAAGCAAGGGTTTAGCCAAGAATGACAGCTTTCCAGTGAGTGTTATTAGGACATGGCAAACAGTTTGGGGGAGCCAGAATGTAGGTGTGAGGGCTGGGGTGAGGGAGGCTCATTAAAAGCACATTAAACAGCACTTTTCAAGACCTTTTTTAGTTAAAATAAATTGCTGGTGCCAGGAATTAGGCCCACATTGGGTAATGGGCCCTTCTCTCCTCCCTAGCATCTTCTTCCATCATGGAAATGTTGGGGAGGTGTTATCAGGAACATGGTCTCCTTCCTCTCCCTACCATCCCTCTGGCCCCCAACAGGCCTTTGGGGACAAACATGAAATATAACTGCTTGGCTTATAACAGAATCCCTGTGTCCTGGAAATATATACATGCTTACTGGGCTCCAAAAAAAGCAAGCTGATTATTAAAATAGAAAATTCATCTCAGCTTTTTGCTACTTGGGTCAAATGAATGGGTCCAACTGGAAGCTTCTGTTTCAACCTGGAAAAATAAGGAGCTTAAACTAAACAAACAAAAAAAAAGCAACAGCATTTTGGAATGAAGCTAGACTAGTTACATGGTCCCAACACCTTACTGTTTTGTCAGGCAAATAGGCAGGACCATATTTGGTTACAAACATGAGAGCTGAAGATATTCTCTTCCAATTGCATGGAGAAAGGCAGGGGCCAGGGCCAACCTTCCCCCTGCCCCACAATTTTTCAGATTAAGGAGCCTGGAATGACCGTTCAGAGGTAAATGAAGTAAGAGGATAAAAAACCCCCACAAGTTGTGTCAGCTTATTTCTTTTTGAATGGGATAGCTCACGGGCAATGTCCCACCACATTATTCTTTCTGTGGGAAAAATAGCATCATTCCCTTTGACTGGTTTACTCCAAGCAAATTCAGTTGGCAAACTATAATTTTTTTTTTAAGATGACAGGGGAAGGATTCCTTTCTGATCTTTCTGAAAGAAGTAAGCACCCACAAAGATTTTTTTTTCCTATTTTCTAACTAGCTATAGAATGCAAAGTCTGAAGCTTGAAGAATACTTTCTCCAAGGAAATCCCGAGGATTTTGCTAAACCTGGAGACCTTGTGAATTTGACCAGATGACAGTTGATCCAAATCCAGCCCTTCAGGGTTGTCCTTAATTCCACCGCCCTCATTTTACACAGGAAGAAACTGAGAGCTCTAGACGTGAAATGCCTAGCTCCTGACCACACAGATAGTTAGTGGCGAGTCCAGTATTCAAACCCAAGTCTTCTGACTCCAAATTCAGCTTTCTCCACCCTCTGAACAAAAGGGGTCTGGCTAGGGGGTGAGTTGGCTGAGCCTGGATTCTTTCCTCTTGTGATTGCTGGATAGGTCTTGGTGAAAGGAGGGGCAGGGACAGTTACATACCCTCCCATTCTCTCTGGGTGGGAAGGCTGCTTTGCTTGGCTTTGCCACACATAAAATCCTTATTCGAAAACTCATCTTCAGAAAGTCTGTTCTCCAGTGGGCCAGAGAAATTGGCTCTGGAATAACAGGAACCAGAGTCCCTTATTTCGCTCACAGAGAAAATTAGGGGTGACAACAGCTTAACTCAGGGGAGATAGCAATGTTCAACAAATGCATTAATAATTCTAGCCCAAATTAATAAGAGGCACTTTCAATATCTCCCCTCCGGAGATTCCTAGGATGTTTATGTGAAAAGGACAACTTTTTAGACATTTCTTACTTGTTAAGACTGAGGAGTATTCTGGAGACTGCTTATAGTACCAGCTCCATATAGGGTGGGTGCTTCTGTCTGTGCTTTAGCGAAATTCTATAGATTGTTAGCTAGAAAAGGCCAAAGCAGCACCCTGATTTTCATTAAAAGGGAACGTTAGGAAATGTCCTAGCTGTGGGACATAGGGCAATTATTTGGTCTCTGAGTCTGTTTCCTCATCTTCGAAATGGGGATAAAACCTGAAGTATCTACTTCACTGGGTTGTTGTGAGGAGTACTTTAAGCTGTTTCCTGGTTAACTGGTATTATTTCTCAGGGATATCAATGATTTTGAGAGGTAGATTGTTTGAGTATATAGAGAAGCCACCTAGGAGCTGAAGAGATTTGGGTTGGAGTTTCATCTCAGACTACCCCAGCTAAGTGATCATTGGTATGTTATTTACATTTTTGGTGCTCTAGGCAACTTTCTAAGAAGTTCTAAGTTGCAGAGCAGGTAGCCAGCCTGCATTGGTGGCATCACTTAGGCGGCTCTACCCAATGAAATTACAGGGGTAGTCCCCATCCCCTAGCAATGATTCCATGTGCATTTATGACTTGCATTACCTGGGCTGTTGTCCCTCCACAACTTCTCAACAAGGGGAGAAGTTTTTAAATGTCCCAAAAAAATCATTGCTAAAAGGATCAGACTCCAAAAAGTGAAATGGTCCAGACTCCATTTCCCTTCCTTTCTTTGCAGAGAGCATTCTAGAAAATGGTATTTGGAAGCTAAGCTTGCCAACATGCATCTCAAAAGAAAGGTGACAAAAAGTAACTCAGGAATGCTTAACTCTTGGTCTCCAGAAAATTCCCCTGCCAGGCTTTCTCAATCTTAGCTCCAAAAATCTGGCTTTTCAACATCAGATACGAGATGACCCTATAGCCTGGATAGATTAGTACCTATCCAGAAATGCACGAACAGCCACCATATCTGGAAAGAAAGCCACAGTCTTCTAAGACCATGGCTGCTATTTGCATGATGAGGGCTTGCAGTTACAGAGTTTCTTAAGGTCCCTTGAAATGGCCTGGCTTGGGGTGGGGGGTGGGATGGGGGAGCAGTCAGACTTTCATTTGCTTGGATAAACTGTTCCCCCACCCACTTCCTCTCTCCCACTTTCAAGGTATGTAACAAAAATTCTGCAGGCCTAGAACTATTTGCCTTAAACTTTTCCCCTTAATTTAAAAAAAAAAGGTTTCTAGAACTTTTCCTGTCCTCTAAGAAAGTAAAACAGAACCTCATAGTTAATATTCTATTAAGGCAGTCAACTTTAGCATTTAGAAACTAGGCCTTGTAGAAAGTTTGGGCATTTTGACTTCCTTTCCTTGGTGAGGTGAAGGACCTGGTGTTTTATACAGGGCCACGTATGGGCCTGATGTCAACTGGTTTTGTCCAACAATCTTTCTTTGTTATAGGAAGATAACCTGGGGAAGAACACATCCAGAACTAAGATATGAAAACAAAAGACATTTATAACACTTCCAAAAAATGATCCCTCCATCACCAGCAAATCACCTGCCTTGACAGGTGTGCCTTCTGCAATCTTCATTTGGCTTCTGATTGTGCGGTCGTAATTATCAGTAAGGACATCGATTTGGAGCTGGAATTTGTGCTCTTTGGCCAAGTCAGTATCCTTCAGTGAATCTTTATTTTTGCATTTCCCTACTTGAGTACAATTAAAATGAACATCTCTTCTCATTTACGAATATGTGGAAGAGCTTGACTAATTGTCCTGGCAAGTAGACAGACCCCCAAAAGGGCTCTTAGGAGCAAGACTTCAGTGACTCCCAGTGGGACTGGAAAATCAGCTTTTTTGATTGTGGGAAGGACATATTTGGGGGTTGTTTTGGGCACGACCAATTTGACATTCTTCTCCTCCAGGATGCCAATATTTTGCAAATCTGAAACAGGGACGTGGACTGCAGGCTGTTCGCTTGCATATAGAGATGTCCCAGGTTTAAACCATCCCACCTTCTGGTGTCTATTTCATTATTATAGCTGCCTAATGGTTTAGAACCCTGTAGTTGTGGGTAAGTAACCAGCCTATTTATTTTGGACATATGTGAATTACAAAACTGTCAGTAACAAAAGTGTTTCCCCACCTCCTCTTTCCTTGCCCCCTTGCCAATACTTGAGTTACTTTTCAATACTCTTGTTTGAAAAGGTTGGGCTAAGGAACTCCAAGTAATTTGAAGAAGAATGATGATCCCTAAGAACATTTCTGTTTGAGCAGTGGGAGTTCAGTCTGAGGGATAGGTGGTAAAGAAAGTATTTCAGAAATGATTGTGATACAAAAACAGAAGACATCACAAAAACTAATTTTTAAAATCATGGGCTGAAATGGAAAAGGACACTGTGTGATTGGTAAATGTCAAAAAAAAACAGTCTAGCTGGTCATGTTTTCTAGCTTCCGCCTATAGACACCCTGGCCAGAGGTTCTCAGCTTACCAAATGATCCCCTAATGTTTAGGGGTTAGGGACGTATGACGGAAAATAGATTCAGACAATATTTTCCCATGTGCCCACAAAATTTTAGATTAATTAAAGCTGATAGTTGATTTTCATTTTAGCCCACCATGGGCAGAGAGGGAAATGATCTCTTTAGCAGCCGCAAAGAAATCTTGTCTCATTGCTGTGTGCTGCTTACATAGAAATGTATGGGAATATTTTGGAAGCTTTGCTGTATATTGTATCTGTCTGATTCAATGATCGGATTCCTCAGAATTTACTTTTTCAAACATATGGTATTACTATGTATTCACTGTGACAAGTAATTATTAATTAATGTGGGTAGGGGATACAGACTGGATTTGCAAATTCACTGATGTGGGGAGCTCAGCTAGGTGGTGAGGTGGATAAAGTGCTGGTCTTGGAGTCAGGAAGATCTCATATCTGGCCCTAGACACTTACTAGCTGTGTGATCCTGAGCAAGTCACCTCATCTCTGCCTCAGTTTTCTCCTCTGTAAAAAAGGGGTAATAATCCTTAAGCTGTTTGTAAATCTAATAGTGCTCTTAGAAGTGTGAGTTGTCATTATTGTGATTAGGACTCCATTCTCTATAGGCTTTGAGCCTCTTCAGCCAAAGGTCCACTTGCTTGTCAGTGTGTTAGCCTTCTAGGGGGCTTAAGTTCACAGTACAATGGATTCCTTTAATAATTCCTGCAGCTGGGCTTTTCTTGCAGCTCAAAAAGGGACAAATCTGACCCTAAAAAAACTACAAAATGTATTAGAGTGAGTCATAACCTTCCTGGAATATGAAAACCTGTGGGTGGGAAAGAAATTGGCACTTTCCTCCCCTCTTTTCCCCCCACAGGATATAGAGCTTAAAGGGATTCAGTACAATGGCCCAAAAAACCAACCAGGCTATCGATGGACCTTTATCGAGAAACTGCTCGGAGCCAGATGTTGTGCTAAGGACTCGGGACAGTAGGACAAAAGCTGAACCCTATGCCTCTTTTCCATGGGGGAGACAATGTATAGTAGAGAAGGGGGAAAGGAGAAGAGAGCTGATGGATAGAGAGAGACATAGATACACAATGGATAGATAAAAGGTAGATGATAGATAGATAGATAGATAGATAGATGACAGTTTGGATGGATAGATAGTTGATGGATAAAGATAAATACGTGTGTGTGTGTGTGTGTGTGTGTGTGTGTGTGTGAGAGAGAGAGAGAGAGAGAGAGAGAAGAAAGAAGAGAGCAGGTGACATGAGGTAGAGGAAAGAGTATTGAACCTGTGCTCTGGTCCCAACTTTGCTACCAATGCCAGCATAACCTTGAACATGTCCCACAGGTTTAAGGGTCATAGAGATCCTCTGATCCAACCCCTTCAGTTTATTTTTTTCCAATTCCTTATTTTTTTTTATCCCCTTATTTTGCTGAGAAGGAAATTGAGTTCCAATGAGAGCCGAGTTTCTAACCCAAGGCCTCCAACTCCATCAGCATTTCCATTGGACCCCTTTCTGTAGGCCTCAGTTCTATGACACTGCATGGTATCTCCCAACTCCCAAAGTCTCTGATCCTAAGACCTCACGTCAGTGTGGTGCTCAAAGTATTTTCATAGCCCTCATTCATATGATTGCATCAGCAGCCCTGGGAGCCTCTGCCCAGAGAAAGACTTATTATCAGCATTTTACAGATGACAAAACTGATAGGCATGAGGTCTCTTGTTCCTCTCAGTAAACAGAAGGCAAGAGCAGGTTGCATGCTGCATAAAGTTTCACTGGGTAGAAGGGAAAGGGAAAAAAGACTGGAATGGCAAACGTATACATATATTAGTTTACTTAATGAACACTTGAAATGCCAGCAATAATTAGAACATATCAGAAACATAGGCTCAGTGGGATCTTAAATATTATGAGTACAGGAAGGACAACTGTATAACTTGCTCTTTTTATTATTGGGGAAGATTAAACAAAGATGAGTACATAATTTTCAGTACTGATTTTTTCCTCTAAAATTTATACATACAATTCAGTAGGAGAAAAGTACAAAATAAGTCAGCTGTGCAAAAACTGGGGGAAACCCAAATTTTGAAGAAAAAGCACATTTTTTGGGAGCCTTTACACATGGAATGGCATTGGTTAACAGACTGATCAACCTCTGTTAAATAATATTAAGATAATTAGACACTATTTCACTACGGATCCCCATAAAAGTCCGCCATGATGAATTTAGGTCATTGTGGTCTTGGAACAAAACCTCCATTTAGAATGTTGTGGAGCCTCAGCCAAGCACACTCCTCCCTCTCTTGGACATAGGGCTACTGTAGCAGACTCCAAAAAGCTTAAGTTCATTGTGCTAATATCCTTTTAATAACTCCCCCCCCCATCATTCCAGAGATAAACAGAATCCAAGTATAGTGGAGACCATTTTCTGTTGACTTTTTATTGCTAGCTTTTGCCAGGAAGATCTGGGTTCAAATTCCACTTCAGGCATGTACTAGTTGTGTGATCCCTGGGCAAGTCACTTACATTTCCTCAACTCCAGTTTCTTTATAAAATAAGCATAATCATGGTGGCACTGAGCTAAGAGGGTTCTTGATGCTATGTTTGTTGACTGATTTCAGTGACTTGCCCATGGTGATACAGCTTGTAGGTGTCAGAGGGAGGACCTGAGTCCAGGTCTTCTTGACCTGGACAAGCCTCTAATAAACCATTTTGTCTCTTCATTTAAAATAAAGCTTTTAAAGTGATTCTTATTGCTATCTCCTTTTTCTCATGTTTTTGACCCAGTGTATGTTGAAATGGTCTGGACTAAATCACTATCCTGCAATTATTTGATATTTAATGCTCTACAGACCTAGGGTGTATCAAAGGACTGCTTCTTGTCATTGAATAAAATAATTGAGTTGTAAGCTCGTCTACAGACTCAGCGAAAACAATCTCGGGATGGCAGAGAGGACAAGGATAAATGGCATGGACCTTACCTTAATCCCCCCTAGTATTTTAATTTTTTCTGCTTGATCTCCATTTTGTGAAAATTTTTCATTCTGTGTAGTCCTGAGATTATTAGTATGCAATGTGGTGACATTTGCAAAAAACAGCAACTCATCCCTCATTTTTAGGCATTTTAAAAATAAAAAAGCTAATTTTTTTGTTTTTATTTATTTTAATCAGTGCTGTGTTCTGGCAATTGAGAGCAACAGCAGCCTGTGATATTGGTTTAGTAAAGTTCCTGATTAACTGGATTCTCAAGGCTAGTTTGGGGTTCATATTTATAGGATGGGAATCTGTTGTCTGTTAATCTAAAAATGACCACAACCTTCTGGTGTATCATTCTAGCCCTCTGATGATGTCTTCTGCTCCTCTTCTGTGAAATGGCCTTCACTGCGTTCTGCTTTTTGAGAAGGAGGCACATGGATGAATTTCTGTACTTTCTAAAGACCCTTCGATGGAGAACTTGGCAGAAGGGATGGGAAGAGTTTTGTCAATGCTCCCGTCCCTTTGGAGAAAAGATTCAAAATGGGGGAAGGGGACTGGAGCTCTCAGACCTCGGAGGCTGCAAAATAGTCCCTCCATTGCTTTTTCTCAAGAGCCGTATTTCGTGGCTATTCCCAAGTCTCTCTGCTTTTCACTTTGCTGTTTCCTCTGCGCTTTCCTATCTTTTGGTCATTCCCCATGAGCTATGATAACATATAAGGAGCTTATAGAAATACTTATCAAAATCAGCCGGACACAATGCTACACTTTCCCTCATAATGACAAGCTCCCCTAATTATGAATGACAAGTCATAAATTATGTTTAAACTGGATTTTCCACTGCAGATACTCCTCCTGCCACCCAGACAGCCTTATAAAGTTGCATTTGTGGCCTTAATCCCACTTGGATGGGTGCCCCGCTGCCTGCACTTTCCACCGCTCTGGTCCTTGCGGCTCCTCCAACAAGTGAACAATCATTGTTTCTGTACCTTATTAGGCCAGAGAGCGAAGCGGCTAGTGATGACATCGGCAGGCCCCGCAGGCAGGATTCTGGGCAGACCCAGCCAACCTCCAACAAACCCCTTTTTATCCTCCTGTTTCTAGGAAGAATTATGATGGTGGTGCCCTGCTGTTGATCAGTCAAATCTGTGGTAGGCCTAGAGATAAGTCCTGTAAGGGTGGTGTACTGTAAGACAGCAGCTCCCATTCATTAGGAGTTTGTGTGTAATAAACCACCAAAAAGAGAGAGGGAGAGAGGCAGCTGCAGAATCCAGGCACAAACAACACGACCCATTCTTAGGAGCCAAAAACTTTCTAATTTGCTGCTGGGCAGCCCTGCTCGGTGCCATCCTTCCTTCTCCCCCCAGTGGTGCCCTCGATATATTTAGAGTGGGGCTCTAAGGCTCAAGACTGCTCCTTTTGAACCCCCGTTCTTCCCTGCCCACTCCCATCCCCCAAAGAAAAGTTGCACATACTCTGACCTAAAAGGAGAAAGGGGAAAATAAGCAGCGACTACGGCAGCCCTTGTCACTGGAGCGTGCTGGCCTGGGACTTTTATTCCTGCCAATTCACTTTTCAAAAACACCATAGATTTGAGTTTGCGTTGAACATTGTTTCAGGGCACTGATTTCGGGAGGATGGTACCACCTTCCCGAGGTCCTGGGAGGGGCCCTTGGGGCTGTTTTCCATCCTGCATGAGTTTAATCTCCTTGCTAATATCTTCTTTTCAGGCAACAACAGATTCAAATGAGTAACAAAGAGAATTTGGGGAAGGGGACTGCTTCAAGCAAATAGAATTCTTGCCTCAGACGCCAAAAGACGCTGCTTTTTTTTTAACTTAAGGGAGGAAACTTTAATTTCTGTAATGTACCAGGAGGGAAAATCACAACTTTATAGAGTAGCTCACGGAGAGCAAGCCAGACATTCCTCTGGAGAGGCAGTCGCAGTTTAACAATTTCCGTTTGAAAAAGGTTTTTTAAAGTACCTGTTGTTTGCACAAAACTACTTGGGCACTGGGGCAAAGGAGCCAAAAAAAAAAAAGTCGGAGAGATCTTGCCTTCCGGGAGTTTATAGTCTACTTAGGGTAAGACGACGTGTTGCACAGATTTATTCGTTCAAGTAAGAAATTGTTAACTCCCTAACTTACGTGCCAGGCACTGAGCTGGGCATTGGGGATACAAAAACAGTTTCCATATCAGTTTCATTGATACTAGATCCCGAGGCATAGTGTTAGGACAAACCATTTCAATTCCAAAGTTTGATTTGTACAGCACTGTTCATGAGAGAGATGGAAGGGTAGAGGATAGGGTCGAGGGGGAGAGAGCAATAGTGACAGAGAGATACATACTACATAGAGCACTGGTCAATACATAGAGTCAGTACTGATTGTTGTTTGTCCTTCTTTCCCGAAAAAGACCATGACCTCAAGGAGGTGATGCCACGACATGCAAGTAAATCGGAGAGGGAGTCAGGAAGACCTAAATTTAAATCCTGCCTCTAAAATTTGCTAGCTGTTCTTTCATAAAAAAAAAGTCTCTTTTCCTTGCTGAGCCTTAGTTTCCTAATCTGAAAAATAGTGATGACATTTGTAACATTTTCCTCACAGCGGGTGTTATGAGGTTCAAATCAGATAATTATTCAAAGGACTTTGCAGAAGTTAAAGCGCTACAAAATGCCAATTACTCATTTGCTTAAAAATCATCTGTGATTTTTAAAAAATGCTGTCAGTTCTTTAATAAACTTTCTTTTTCATGCCTAAACTGGTATAAAGCAGTCCTAGCTTGGCGTGTGTGTGTGTGTGTGTGTGTGTGTGTGTGTTTCTGTGTCTGTCTTCCCTCTTCTCCTGTCTTTTCTCTACCCTATTTCCTCTCCTCTCTCCTCTCTCCTATCTCTGTGTCCGTCTCCCTCCCCTGCACCGACTCTTCCTCTGTTTCTGTCTCACTGTCTCTCTCTGTCTCTGTCTCTCTGTCTCTCTCCCTCTCCCTCTCTGTCTCTCTGTGTATCTCTCTCTGTCTGTCTCTGTCTTTCTCTTGGTCTCTGTCTCTGTCTCTCTGTCTCTCTGTCTCTCTGTCTCTGTCTCTCTCTCTCTCTCTCTCTCTCTCTCTGTCTCTTCTCTCTCTCTCTCTCTCTCTCTCTCTCTCTCACACACACACACACACACACACACACACACACACACACACACACCCTCAACCTCCAGCTACTTCGATGGAATACTGATTTTAAAAGCCAGGTGATTTTTTTTACTTTTTTTTTTTGCATGCTTTGGGTTTCCTTTATCAAGTAGGGGATCCAAATGTGGGGCAATTGGGGGATTGTCGGTGGCCAACTGGAACGCATTCCACTGGTTTTGGAATTCCTGCAGGTGTTTCCCAAGCAAAAGCCCCTTTCAGAGAGTACCATCTGCATGTGTCATGTGCCCACCGGCTCCCTCCCCTCCCAGCTGGGGTGGGGGGTGTTTGTTTGTTTGCCTGATTGACGTGGAATGACCAGGACCCTTGGTCCATTGCTTCCAACAGAGTCCTTCTGAGTTCTGGAGCTCCCTGCAGATCCACCCGCCTAAATTGTCCACGATTCCTCTCAAATGCTTCCTTCTCATGCTCTTCTGGCTTTTGAGTTGGCCTCTGCTGCTTTTCAGGCTTCACAATTTGTCAGTGACATTGATTCAAACCATAAGTTGTGCTACATTGGTGTTTTTCAACAGAACAATACAAATGAAAAGGAGTTCGTTGCCCTGCCAGTAAATATATATTACATCCTTTTAGTGGGCTGTGCTATTTAAATAAACATTAGACCATAGCATATACAGAGTGTAAATTTGGGGAGCAACCAACCAGAGGATGCTTGGAAATCTCTCTAAGTAGCATATTTTTTCAATTTTAAATAATTTCTAAATGAAAAAAAATTCTAATATGTTTTCTCCAATATGTTTTTGAAGCCATTACTTTCACAGAAGACATTGTTCCTTGTTTTTTTTCTTTCAACATATCTATCACCCAATAAATGGCATGGTGGTCCAGAAGCCCAGTAAATATACCTAGAAGTGATTTTTGCCCTCTAGTCTTCGTTGATCAAAATATATACTATGAATTTCATCTTAAAAAGTTAAATCATTTAAAAATGGGCTTCTTAGGAAAACCCTGTCTTTTTAGGACTTACAGAATAAAGAGTTAGAGGCTCTTTCTTAAACTAACTGCTCCTGCTGCTCCTGGGCTTGACAACCCCAGGCAAGGTTTCGTTATGCCTCAGTTTCCATATCCATGAAACAGAAATGATAGGGCTCACTTTCTTCCTGCTTCCTGGGAGGTTGGAGGGCTTATAAGGATTAAGAATCTTTACTAAGTGCTGGGCAAGTTCAAGTCTGATGGAATCAGATAACTGCACTATTTATGATTCCTCCAATTCATTAAACATTTCCCCAAAAGTCACTCTTTGTTACTTCATCTTGGGATTGAGGTAGCCCAGGGCTTCTAAAGGCAGTCCCAATTGAACACAAGATCTGGCAGGTCTTGACAAGTTTTAAGTATAGTTGAAAGAACTTGTAGGTGGGCAGCTAGGTGGCATGGTGGATAGAGCACCCCTGCCTTGGAATCAGGAGGATCTGAATTCAAATTCTGCCTCAGACACTTACTAGCTGTGCAACCCTGGGCAAGTCACTTAATCATACTGCCTCCCCCAAAACAACACAAACAAACAAAAAAGAACTTCTGGTATCCGATGTCTGAGAATCAATCTAGCTTAACAGTTCATCACCTACTTCAATAAGAACTTTTAATACAACATACCCAACAAAAGGTATCTAGGGTAAATGTGGATTTAGAAAGCAACCTTATTTGCAAAACATTATAGAGCATGATAGAAGATTGTTATTATTATAATAAAAATCAATTCTAGGGGTGGAGGCTGGGGCTAGGGGAGAGATAATCCTGCAGAGAGCTTGGTATTTGATCTTACTCAGCCAGATCACCTTGAAAGCACTAGTACTGGTTAAACTGAACAGATCTGCTAGTATTTCTCTAGTGATCTCTTCTCGTCTGTGACTATTGTGCAGCTAATGCATTTGGATTCTACCACCTCAATATTTTGGGGAGCAAACAACAGTGACTTTAGGAGATAAAGGTTCTGAAAGCAATTTCTTTCAGGGGAAGAGATCTGTGCAGAAGACAACACAATTTTAAAGATATTCTGGGATTATTTTTTGAGATACTTCTAAGAGGGGGAAGATTCTAAATATTCTAATTCTAAATTCTAAATATTAAGAGTGGCATTAGGAAACGGGATCGGGGTTGGACTTTGGATTTCAATGATGTAGGGAATGATATAGATGATATGGAATGATATAGATGAGGAAATTGTACCAAGACAGAGTACTTTCTCTGAAATCTATAGTTTTACAGTGTTGTCTAAGATACTGAGATGTTAAGTGCATTGTTCAGGAGTCACAGAACCAATATATGTCAAAGTAGAATTTGAACCTAAGGTTTTTGGTTCTCTGTATCTCACCTCTCAGCATGTAGGTGAAGGTCATATGACTCTAACATATGTCACCCCAGTGACTGCCAAGGTAGATCTATGGCAGTCTGTTTCCCCTTCCTCTCTGCTTCATGTGTGTTTTTCCAGACAGTCCTTTTTCAAAGAGGAAGACCTTCCCTGATCCTCATACCATTCTTTGGGCAAGGACACAGAAGGAGCAGCTTTTACCTGCCGCAACAAAGAAGGGTACTAATACCTCCCCCCAAAAAAAGGCTGAGAAGACACTAGTAGTTATCTGCCTATATGTCTATTTTCTCATTTCTCTGTCGTTTTAAGAATAATGTCCAGGTACCCATCAAGGATATCCTGGATGAAAAAATAAAATGGGAACAGGAGGATTTTTACAGATGATTTTCTGCAACAGACCACATCTTTACAGTCATACAATTGACTGAGAGTTATAGAGAATATAAATCCTCACTGGGTTAGTTGTTTATTTTCTTTAAAAGGCATTTAACTTGGTAGAACAAAATGTAGCCTTAAAGGTTCTCCTCAAACAAAGCATCTCCCAGGCATATGATTATAACAAATTCTTTGATTGCTTCAATCAATCCATCCATCAACGAGCATAACAAGTGTGTCTACTGTGTGCCAGGCACTGTGCTAAGTGCATTCAAATAGAGCAAAACCCAACGGAGGAGACATAGATTCCTATCTAAGGTGTTTGTAAGCCTTTGGGAAGATGCCCTGCACAGAATCCAAATAGAAAAAGAATTCTTTATTGATGAGGAGCTTCTGTAACTGGCCCCCTGCAAAGATTACATTGTATTATAAAGCCTTCCCACTGAATAATAATAGCTAGAATTCATATAGCACTTTAAGGTTTGCAAAGTGTTTTGCAAATATTGTCTCATTTTATTTTCACAATGAACCCAGGATTATAATAATAATAATAATAATAATAATAATAACAACAATAGTTCACATTTATAGTTCACTATGTTAAGGGATTTACAAATATTATCTCATTTGCTCCTCACCCCAACCCTTTGAGGGAGGTGCTGTTATTATCCCCATTTTATACAGGAGGCAGAGATTGGGATCATACAGCAATTAAGTGTTTGAAGCTGGATTTCAACTCAGGTCTTCCTAACTCTAGGACCATCACTCTATCTGCCTGTAAAATAACACCAACAACACCACAAAACATCAACAGTAACACCCACAGTCATTGAAAAGTGATTGTCAGCCTTCTTCTCTTTTCAACAATTACTAGGGGTTTTTTTTTGTTTATGGCCCTCAGTTTACAAATGAGGAAACATGTTCAGAGAGATCAGATGGCTTACTGAGGGTCTCATTAAGTGCCTGATCTCCCTGACCCGAGTCCCTCCCTGTCTCCATTCTACCATGCTTTCTCTCACCTGAGATTTCGGAGACAGTCACTGCACTCACTGCAGAGTTGGCAGAAATATGAAGTCTCTAGAAGACATCCTTCTCCCTGTTCCTCCCCCAGGAGAAGTGATTGGAAGCCAGGAGACTTATTAAGCTGCAAAAAGTGGAAGAACAGGGTTCAATCTTTATTTGAGAAATAAGCTGTCACCTCCAGTGAAAGAAAACAATGTGGAGAATTGAACAGCTTTCTTTAGATTATGGAAACAGATATTATTATAATTGCCTTTTAGAAACATTCCCTTTTCCTCCTCTGCAAGCAATGACCTCAGGCTAAGGGAGTAGGGAGGAAGTCATGGAGGCATTGTGGCATAGTGGAGAGTGGAGAAGACTTGGGTTCAAACCTCACCTTTTACACTAACTGGTCATATGACCCTGGGTAGATCACCTAATTTTCCTGGGCCTCACTTTCCTCATCTGCAAAATGAGAGAGACTGCACTTAATGTCCTCTAAGATCCCTTCCAACTCTAAACCTATGACCCTATGACATTTCCCCAGGCCCCTATTGCTGGTGATGGAACCTGTGGGGAAGCACCAACTTGATATAGCAGCTTCTTACGTGGGCATCCTGACACCACTCCTGTGTGAGAATCTAATTGCTGGCAAATATTATGCCCATTTTTCAAATGGAGATGCTGAGAATTCCAGAAGTCAAGTGACTTGCCAAAGTTATATGGCAAGAAATTTTCAGACTCAGCAATTAACACAAGTGTTTGGACTTGGGTTAACATTGAAGTCCAGTCACCTCTCCATTATCTGTACCCTAGTGGGCTTTGATTCTCTCTGTCTCTGTCTAAGTCTCTCTCCTCACCAGTTTCCACTG